AGGAGGAGGAGGAGGAGGAGAAGAAGAAGAAGAAGAAGAAGAAGAAGAAGAAGAAGAAGAAGAAGAAGAAGAAGAAGGGGAAGAAGAAATGAAAAAGAAGAAAAAAGAAAGAAAGGAAGAAAGAAGAAAGAAAGGAGGGAGGGAGGAAAATAGCTTCCCAGAAAAGCCATCTTCATTGTGTTCTTGGAACCAACGAAACAGAAAGGTAGAGAAACACAAGAATTTGGTTTCACTGGGCCACTCCAAGGAAAAGAAGGAGAATGAACACCCCAAATATATTTACAAAATACTGAGTGGCCCCAACAAAACACACAAGGCACTCCCAGGTGAGTCCTGGCAGCTGGCCCAGGCAGCCCTGGCACTAAGGGGAAGTCCCTGGTGGGCAGTGCAGCATCCCAGGGTGCAAAGAAGAGGTATTAGTTTTACCAAATAAATGCCCCTCCAGGTGGCTGGGCTCCCACTGTCTGAGGGCTTCAGTGCACCACAGATTCTGGGGCTACCTGTTATGCTGCTGCCAGTAGGAGCTAAACCTCTTATACATATAGGCACAACAAGAGCATCCAGCTCATTTGTTCTTAATCTCCTTGCTTTCTGGCATAAGATGCTCTATGCTTGTAAAGCAAATATATCTAGAACAAGCAAACCCACTGCTAATCTCACACAGTCTCAAGCCCGAAACGATCCCTTTGTGTCTCAAGGTGTCCTTGTCAAAGTGCTGGTGGTCGGCCCTAAAGCACATCTCATCCCTACAAGAGAAGGCAGAATAAAGAAATCAATCCAAATTGAATCATATTGCTCTTTCTATCTCTAGTGGAAATTCTTAAAAGTGTTATGCAAAAACTGTCTTCCTATGAATCAAAAAGGCCCAACCAAGTAGGGACTGGCAAGCTGGAGTAGAGATAGATGTTTTCTCCTCACACAAGGTATTCACCAACTCTAAAAGCCAATGTAAGACTTTCACCTTTCACACAAAACCAGAGGTACCTTGTCTATTTCTCCCTGGATAGCCAGCCCTGTCAGATTCTAGAACATTCTCACTCTGTATGGTCATTGGCTTTATGCTCCCCCCAACCAACTCCTGGAGAGACGGCTGGGCAGACCTGCTATCATCCTGCAACTGATAATCTTACCTGCAATTTTCCTTCAGCTTCCCCTGGACCCCTGAGACATACCCTTGAGGACCCTTGCTGGTACCAGTTCACCAAGATAAGACATACTGCAAATACTCAATTTACCCATTATCTGATGGGATTTTTTTTCCAATTAAGTTCGAGTCAACTCTCCCAGATAAAATAAAGTACTTTCACATAGTACCCAGGTCATGCTTTTGTTCAAAAAGCAGAGAAGAAAAAGAATACTCCCTCATCCATACAACGTTCTTTAGAAGCAGTTTTCTCCTCTGCTAGCAGAGGACAGAAATGTAATCCAAGCAGTCACACAAGGAACCCTCACCCCGGTTTCTTGAACATTTCCAGTGACCCTAGTCTACAAAGGTCCCTCTTGGTAGTTAGGCTAGGCCTGGGTCTCAGTGAGCCACATAAGTCTTTGGGCTCTCATGATCACAGACCTGGCTCATGGAGCCGATGTTATCGATCTATCTACCTGCTAGGAGAGGAAATATCCGCCACAGAAGCCTTGCTGCAGAGGGCCTTGGATATGGACTGTCCCTGCAGGACAGCTGGTCTAATGAAGGCCCAGCCCAAGGGCTCCTGTCCGCTAGGATAATTCTCGGGGATGACTGAGGATCAGAGCCTCGCCACCAGGAATGCCCCTTCTTGGGTGAGAGGAGCTCAGAGTGAGCAGGAGAAACTAGCAGTATGACTGAGAAGAAGGACATTTGCAAGTGTCTAAAAGGCTGGGCTCAGGACCCCAAGAGGCATAGCCTGGAGCAACCCTGTATTTGGAAAGCAAAGAGCTAGAAGTCGGACTTCTTATTGGCAAGGGCATTTCATCTGTATTCAATGTAGCCCATAAGGTTGAAATGGTAGAGGTGAAGGAATAGAGGGCCAAGGGTCTGAGACTTCACCCACCGTCCATGCTTCTCTCTCCCCAGCACATCTCATCAACTGGGTGTGAGGGCCAGCCCAACTCATCTATAAGCATGAGATCAGTCATGTCACAGAGTACCCCAGTAAATGCAAGGACACTAATCCAGAACTTGCTACTCTGAGGAGCATCTCAAGGATGCTCAGAAGACTCATCAGGGGGAAACAACTCACACATTGCATTTCATGCTACATTAATTCCAGTAACAGGACCCTATGAGTAAGTGACCTGAAACCTACAAGTTATAAGATGTTTGTCCTATAACCACACCCTCCCTTATAGGAACAGCGATGTCCAACACAAACACGAAAATAAAGTCAGTAAAGGAAGAAAATGGAGAACAGCAAGAAAGAGACTGTGATGGTTACCCAGCACTACCCCACTTACACATTTAATACTTTTTTTCCTACTAGGGTAACATGTCCTTCATAAATACACTGAGCAAACTATCGGTTATAGAAACAGGAAAGCAGGAGTTACATGTCTATTTATAGATTTAATTTAAAAGTTTCTTAACAACATCAAAAATATAAACTTAAAGTATTTTAACCATGTTTTCTGCTGGGAAGTGGTAAACAAATGCATGCCTGAAGTTGAACTCGGTCCTTAACAAGTTCAGTTGAAAGTTTCTAACTAAAGAGATTATCTGCTTGTTTCAAAAAATACTTATGTCTGTTGTTCTTGATACAAAATTCTACACTATCTTCAATAAATAAATAATAAAGTGTTTCTTAAAAGTATGAAATGTAAACTTTGTTGACCTTTTCCAACACACACTTTTTAAAAATTGCTTGAAACATGACAGGGCTCTTGTGGGAAGTTGTAATGCTACACATTGGTTCCCAGAGACATAGGTACTCTGCCACTGTGCTGGCACTATCTTAGAAAACACTTCTTAATTCAATCTAGGCACCTACACTTGAAGAGAACACTGTCTAACACAGGAAAGCTAGACTCCTGTACCAAGAGAACATGCAAGGAACATTTCACAACCTCTACTAACTGGAATTATGAGAACATTAACACGCAAACAAAATACGGCCCACACTTTTCATTAGTAGATCAAGTTATTATCTGATTAACCAGTCTGTCTCCTGGCATTTAAGGGAAAAACTGAAGCATTCAAGCCAAACAGCTTGGTACATGGTCATCCACTCCTGATTCTGGCAATAAGCACATGTATTTCTGTTACTGAGAGGTTGGTCTGTACCTGGTGAATTGTAGCAGTCTTAAATCTTTCTCCCCAGTTTTAGGGCTTGCATGCTCCTAGGGTCTCTCCCCACCCCATAATATATTTCCTTCACATATTTCCACCCTACTTCCAGCTTATCAGTTTTCCTTTTCAAACTTTAGGGATCCAAGACACCACTTTTTTGGGAACCTAGCAAAGCCAGCCTAGGTGTGGCTCAACCCCAACTTCTGAAATTTCCCAGAGCAGTTGGGATCCAGTGCATTTGAACACAAAATGGACTCAGAGCTAGTCACCTGCACATCACAGGGTCTCCAAGCCAAAAGAACATTTTCAACAATGGCTGGAAACCAGGACGCAATGACGTAATAAAGCTGCCTTCCCAGTGAACTGCAGTGATCTGATCCAACAGAGCATAACTTTGTAGATAATGAGCTTCCATGACCATCTTCAAAGCACGCTGGGAATCAGAAAGGACTCATCCAACAGCACCCTGTGTGTTTTCATTGACATATATTAATACAAAGCCTAGAGGGGAATGAAACGGCTATAACAGCTCACATGCTGGAACCTTCCAGGGCCCAGTTCTTCAAGAGCTAAACCGGTGCCTGATTAGGAGACCATCACCCCACACCATCAGATCCTGGGCAGCGTTTCCCTGTGAGGGAATGAGATTTCAAAACAACAAATCCAACACAATTTTTTCTAAATATACCAACGGCACTATAGGTCAAGAAGTCTACTAAGGGACTGGCAGAGGTGAGAAATAGAAAGGTTACATGAGTTCTCCACAGACAGACATTGCATTTATAAATCTTTTTCACAGTAACCAGACCCACACCTCAAGCCCAATGATGAGCCAGGCTCCCAAGTGAACCCAGAAGAGAGTTATGGGATTTCAGACACCCTAGAAGCCATGACAAGACCTACAGGGAGGACAAAGGAAAACAGTTTTGTTTCATAAAATGGGAGGTTGTTTGAGGGGGAAGGATGGTCAAGAATTATTCCTAGAAGATTTGAGGGGCCTGTCTTTGCTGTCCCATTGCTCTGAGGCTCAACACCAAGTGGCAGTTTCTTTTAAAAGGAACCCAATTTCCAGAAAGCACATAGAGCCTCAGGCTGGAAATCCACTGAGCGCATCCCGGGCCACTTCCTAGGGTTCATCAAACAACTGCAGGTCCAGGCGGACAACAATCTCTCCCGTGGGGACCTCATGGAGCAGGAGACACTTGGTAACTGGCCCTTTGGGGCCCTGGTCTTTCTTGATGTCAGCCACACGGATTTCTGTCCGACCCAAAAAATCTGAAAGGAGAACAAACAGACCCTGCTCAGAAGGAACCCCATATCCGTCATATTGGGAATTTTTTTTTTTTGTACCAGGGATTGAACTCAGGACTTTATGCTTGCAAGGCAGGCACGGTGCCACTGAGCTAAATCCCCGACCAATATTGGGAATTTCTACTGAACTATTACACTCTCCCATCTCTGATCTCCGATGTAAGACTGACCCACACTAGGATCTCCAACTTGTTCTCTAGTGGAGTTGTCAAGGTGTTGTGATATTTCATTATTTTAAAAGAGAGAGAAAAAGACTATTTTGAATGTTTCCAACACAAAGAAATGATAAATATCTGAGATGATGGATATGCCAATTACTTGATCTCATCATTCCATGTTGTATACTTGCATCGAAATGTCCCATATTACCCCCTAACTAGGTATAATTACTATGTGTCCATTTAAAAATATATTAATAAAAATTTTAAGGAAACAATCTCACTCCGAGCCTTCACTTGTGAGAATAGAAGTTGATAATAAAACATAGCGGTTAAAAGCCCTGACCATGCGAGCCATGCTCTGCCTTTTAACCAGCCACGAGACTATCTTTGGGCAAACCAATTGCACATAACTCACATGAGACAATTCATATAAAAAGTACTAAAAGATCCCCGGTACCAAAAAAGAAAAAAGTACTAAAAGATAAAAGCTCACACGGAGCCATTTAAGCCTTGCACAGATAATACTGACATTAGGCCCTAACTTTCTGATTTGTGTTGAATTGAAGAGGATAGTTTCTTGGATTTATTGGCTAGTGAGCTTCCTTTTCCAGCCTTGAAGCAGAAAGGGAGTGCTGGCCAAAGGAGTGATGCACGTAACACAATTCTATCTCTTTGCCTAACCAGAAATATCACCCAAAGGACACCATTTGGTTCTTTTGCACCTGTCACGGGCTAACAATCCAGCTGCATTGGCTAGTTTATCCCATGGCTTGCACTAAGGATTAAAGGACTACACAGAGGCTCCTGGCCATAGACCTCTTTGCAGCCACCTGCTTTGAGAAACATGTGACTGTGGTCTTTGTCCAAGGTAGCTGGAGCAATTTGCTTTATCCACCTCCTCTCAGATGCCTCCAGCATCACCTGCCCTTGGGCCAACTTGGTCTCTCCAGGGGGAAGTCTAGGCCCAAGCTGTCAGGTAGGAAACATGTGCCTACACAAGAGGAGTGAAGGGAGAGGGCAGGCACCATGCGGGCCGTGGTCTGCTCACCGTCTGGTGAGAACTGGTCCCTCTCGAACACGGTGATACAGAGAACCTCCTGCTCCAGGTCCCTGATGAAGAACTGGCAGTTGGAATTCCACTTGGGGTTGAGAGTGTCCTGGATTGTCTTGGTGATGTGGCACTGGGATCCCATGGTCACCTCGCAGTATGGGTTGCTCTTTCCTGGAGTGAACAAAAGCCAGTGCCAGGTGGGAAATGCACCTCATTTTGATCCCCTGCCACTGTGATGCTTAATAAGTGGAAAACCTGGGGAAGAACTCCCACAATTCAGCATCACACTTAAATGGAGAGCAAATGATTAGGTTAGGGGCCTTTAAACTCGGCCCTTCACTTCTCCCCACATTAGCGTAAGGTACATCACACCTATTGTGAACGAAGCTGTTCTCCTTGAAAGGCGGGACAACAGAAAAGATAAACAGCAACCAAAAAACCCAAACCGTTAGCCTCTCAACAAGCACTAGAAAAACCCATTCCAAAAGGAAGTTTAGGATCAGAAATAGCACACTTGATTTAAAGTTGCCTGAGGGTGTGGATGATGCAGAAAAGACTTCCAGTGCCAACGGATACAAGGGGGTTTCTTTGGTTCTTACCATGGGACCGACAGGGCTTCAACTCAATGCCTTCAACAACGTTCACCATCAGCCTTCCAATACCTGTTGCCCTTTGGGAACGGACTGTGAGGGCGGGGAACATAACACAAAATGTTTCATCTTAACACATGATGCCTTTCCCATCCCGGTGTGCTTCACAGTCTGTCTTACCCACCTGCCCCTCTCAAAAGCAATTCTCCCCTCTTCTCCCTAACTTTTGCTCCCTAGCTCCTCTCTCCCTCCCGATCCTGCATGGATGACCCTATGCCCACTTCCATCCCATCTCATGCCCTCTGTACTTGCAGGTGCAAAGGATTCTGGGCCCAACCAAATGCCTCTCCCAGCTCTGCGGGAACCACAGGCCCTGCTGCCCCGTGGTACGTTACCAAGGTACGCTTTCTCCCGCTTCTTTTTCTCAGTCTCTATGTAGAGCTCAGAAGCAGCTTTGATTTTCTGCACCCAGGCAGTCCTTGGATGGGAAAAGACAGAATGTTGCCAAACAGAACTCAGGAGAAAAAACTTCAGGCCTGTTCAAATTCTGTTTCCAGAACTCTGTTTCCATTGCTTGTTTTGATTTTAATGACAAAGACTAGGGAATTTGACTTTATATCACATGATGCTAACAGTTATCCCTACTGTTACTCAAAAAGACAAGAGCGGTATTTTTACAGATGTCCTCAAGATCTGCATCTCTGTCCTCATGGAAGAAAATCTATGACAGATGCACTCCTGGAGGAGGCGACAGCTCATCGCTCCTCTTCTTCCCGTGGTGCAAAGCATCCCCTATTTGCCCAACCCAGTAAGGTAAGACAGAAGGATCTGTTCTGCAAAATCGCCCCAGGGAAGGAAAAGAATGCCCCAGATTGGTGACTACTTCACACAAAGCAGCAAAGGACGCTGCAGGAAGCAATTTGGCACGGTGGTTTCTTCTTTTTCCCAGAGCCACATGCACAGTAACTTTGGCCAATTTTCTTGCTTGGCACACAGACTCTTAGGAATGTTGTTGGCCTCCTATCAAGCTCACCCTTCAGAAAATGATCTATTTCATTTGGCTCCAAGGCAGAGTCTTGAAGACGGAATGAAGCCAAAGACTCGCACACCAAGGATGCAGAGGGCCTGTCCCATGGACCTGGGGGAGGAGGGTTCAGGTGCGGGTGTGGGTGGTCCTATTAATACCCACAACCCTTTCCTATAGGTTTCTGTCACCCGGGCAAGCCTGAGATGCTCCACTTGTTTCAAAGAATGCTGAAAATTTCTTTTACAAAAAAAAAAAAAATGCTCAAGCAAAATTAGTTTTCAATCTAGTTTATTTTGAAAAAAATTCATGTCATGTGTCCCTAGCAAAAAGTATTATGCTCTCCCCAGGCCTGAGCAGAGGGTACAGCTCTGCAGCTGGGGGGCACTGGGACCTGCTGACACTTGGCCAGCACCCAGTGCTGGGGAGGTATCCGGCTTACCGTTCATTGATACTTTCTGCTCGGAGGGTGTAGACTCTGTCGATGTGGGAAATGTGGAAGATCGGTTCATCTCCGGAGGGGTCAGTGGGTAATTTTACCAGAACTTCATTTAGGAAAATAGGCTGGAAAGTAATAATGCACACACATTACCAACCGATGCTGGGTGTGGGCATGCTCACATGAACGAGCATGTTCTAGCAAATGTGTGCCATTGCTGGTGCATGTATTTCCATGTGTCTGTTTGAGTGCATGTTCCAGTAACCTAGATAAAGGATGTATGTGTGCGTTTATGGATATGAGCCAGACTACACGTTTCTGTGTTTTCTAGTAAACTATACCAGAATAAGGATGTTATATTAATTTTGATTTTCATATATTACAAATGATAAATGTGTACTTCCCCCTCTGTTTTGCAGGTATTTTTTAAATCTTTCAAAATAAGGTCTATTTTTCCTATTGTCTACCCTAAACAGCAAATGCCCTCCCTCAACTTCACATCCAAGTGATTCCCTCTAAAGGTTTTCTTCTGAAGTTTCTAGTAACAGTCCACATAAGTACATCACTCCTTTCCTCCCAATAAAGCCAACTGCTCTCCTGAGAAGTCTCTAGTTAAAAATACCTCCACACAGACACATTTAGAAAAACAACACTCCACAACACAGAGACATGCTGCACATCTCTGTGCAGAGCAGGTAGTCAGCCCCAAGACATTCTCCACACATTGATTGGGTTTTACTGACAAAGGGGAGGACGCAGATCCTTCAAACTGCATGGGAAAGTTTGGTGGGGGATTTAGGATGGAAGGTGGCAGAGGGCTCTTGGGAAGATATTTCCTATCTCTACTCGAAAATTCTGATTCCTTTTGCGCCCTCCTCCCTCCCCAGACCCACCAAGTCATTGCAGTCTGGAGCAGAGCTTACCGTTTTGTACATTTTATACTGCAGGTTGGATTTGGGGCTGAAGACTTTGTCAGTGCCAGAAGACCCCAAGGGCTTTGTGATTTGAGTCAGCAGGAGGAAGTCGTTGAAAAGAAAACCATACAGCTCCTTGTTGCTCTTGGCCTTGTAGAGCTTCCCACTGTGTAGAAACTTTCGGGGTCCCAAGCAGTTGGTCACTGAGTTGAACACCAGTTGCTGAAAAAGGAAACAAAACCCAAAGAAGAAACCATGAAGGAAGATCGTATTTATTGGTTTTGTTTTTGGAGCATGGGCTCCACCAGAATCTGAGACCAGGCGGCAGCAGCAGACCTGTGTCTTAGGCACAAAGCAAGGGCAGGTTTGAGGCTTCTGGGGCCATGAAGTCCAAGTCAAAGGCGTGGTTCTGGAGATTCGAAGGGTGGAGATGAGTCTCACTTGTAATTTCCAAAGCCATTTCCTACGGGCTTGCATGAGTCTTAGGGTGTGACAGGTGAGTTTCTCCCTTTCATTTACTGGGGGAATGGGGCAGCAGGAAGAAAGATGCCCTGCCAGCTCCCACCGCAATGTCCACCTGCTGGGTATGGGGCGCTGGGCTGGGGATGAACCCGCTCCAATGAGAAGGCCCTGCATGGCCTTCTGGAGAGCAGCCCTGTCTCTCTCTGTACACCTCCACTGGCCAAATGCTGTCTTCCCAGAGTCCAGCCCCCTCACAGCAGTGCCCAGTGACACCTCAAAGCCAAACACAACACTCCTGTACATGTTAAATCTCACCCACCTCACTCATTCTGAAACTATGAAGGGGACAGTTCTCTCGCTGCCACTTACCAATCCTTAGGGACAGCTGTGAGTGTTGAGAGATGGCTTTAACAGCTCCCGGGGTCCATCATGTACCTCAGACCCCAGGTGCTGAATGGACAAAGGACCTCCTTTTCGGACAGCAGGGGAGAACCAAGGAAGGCAAGGCCAAAACTGTGCACCAGGCAGTGACTCAGGCAGAGGCTCTGCTCAGACCTAGGAAAATAGCGTTTGGCCAGCAGGTGTGTACAGAGAGAGGCATCGCTGCTCTCTGGAAGTGTGAAGGAGCCTCATATTCTCCAATTGCCCATACATCTGCCCACAGCCCACATCTGCCCCAGGGGATGCTCCACCCAGCAGCTTCAAGGCCAAGTTTCTCTCCAGAGAGACGAGCCCTACAGATCTCTCTAAGGAGAGTGTTTGTGAAAGGGTGATGGTGCTTATAACACATGTCCCCACAAGATGCTAGTGGTCACCTGTCCAGCTCCAGCGTGGGAGAAAGGTTAGGTGGCGATTCTGGCCAGAAACCAACAGGTGACAAAGAAAGTGATCACTCTGCTCTATTCTCAGGTCCATGGAGGAAGGATGGCCTCTAACCTCCCTCTGAGGCTCTGGAGAACCCCAAAGCCTCAAGGTGGTACCCTAATAGGAGCCTTCAAAGAGTATTCTTCACGCCATGCACTCTTAACAGGATCCTGCCCAGCAACCTAGCCCTTCTCACTTTCTAAGAGAGAGCTCAAGCCACTTGGAGACAATGAGTCCAGAAAAGGCAAATGTCACTAAAGCCAATGTCACCAGGAGGATGTTATTCATTCATACCCAGTTTGAGGCCCCCAGCTGACCAGGGTAGCACTGACTATACATGAACTGGGAATGGTCTTTACATTCCCTATCTTCAGGTGAGGATGCAGGACACCACATTTATGTGAAGCTCAATCATGGGTCTGTGTCCAGCTCTGGGCCACATGCAATCCACACTGTGGTCAAGAGACAGAAAACCGAAGCCACCATGTTCCCTTGCCATTCCTGTGAATCCCACAAAGACAAAAGAAAGCTGGGGTACTAGAGCTAGGAAAGACCAGTCAATAAAGATTAACTATCTGGTTTCAAAGAAAGTATAGAAGCTTCAAAAATCAAATGACAAGAACTTATTTTACTCCTGACCTCTTAGGGTGAAGGGCCAGGCCACTGACCCCTCTGATTGAAGCAGTCAGACTCAGGGGTTCCTTTTCTGAAGTTCATGATGCCCGTCGGCGCACCTGCCTGGCAGATGCAGGAGCTGTGCTGGTCTGCTATCTTCAGGGCCAACACAACGCTGCTACGCAGGGTACACAGGTCTTGCTATGCCACCACTGGCCCTAAATCCTATGGCCTGTCACCTCTATGTTCCCACCAGTGACCTTTTAGGATGTGTCTCCTCTTCTACGCCCAGCCTGGGATTCCTCACTAGAGAGAGGGAGGGAGGGAGATCACTACCCTTCCACATCTAGGCGCATGTCACCCTCTCCAGTGCCTCCCCAAATGCCCCACACAACTGTCCCTTCCTGTTCATCATGCACTTGTCATCTGGTTCCACCTTGTCATTCCTCACATTTGGGGAAAATTGGTTTAATGCACAGTTTCCTCCAGGACCAGAGCTCTTTGAGTGTAAGATCACATCTTACTTGTTTTTATGTCCTTGGGTTTTAGTACTGACTCATAGTGGATGGGTGGACACTCACTAAATGCTTACTGGATGAATATGTGAATAAGTGACCCAATCAACCAAAAACTGTCCCTGGGTTCCAAAACGGGGAGCTCACAGCTGTCACCTGGGATTCCACAAGGCTGCTTCCACAGTTTTGCTTATCTGACACCTACCCAGAAGGCGGACAGGATGTGGGGCTGAGGCGAAGACCACTGGTGTGCTCAGGTAGTGTCTGCCTATGGTGCTCATGAGAGGGAAGATACCACAGAAAGAGTGGATTAGCAACCCACTTTCTCCCTGGGGAACTTAGTGAATGGTGTGCATAGGTGTGTGTGTGCATTTGTCTGTCTGTCTGTGCACACATGCACATATACAAGAGCCAGAGAGAAAAACAGGCCCAAAGGATGGGAGTAAAGGCAAAATTAACTGACAAAAAGAGACTTAAAGGCCAAAAAAGCTGCTTCCATTTCTGGAACTATGGTGGACTAGCTACTCACCAAAAAAAGCTAGAGAGAGAGAGAAAATAAAATACAGCCATCACTTTTTAAACTCAAGCTGACAAAAATATAAGCAAATTAAGAAATGTGCAGAAGCCAAAAACAGAATGAGAATGACATTCTTGAAAACTAATGAATCACCAAAACCAGCATTAGTCCTAAGAGTCTCAGTTGAAACTAATGACATTGAACTTCCATTTTAATGACTATACGGTTGCAGACAAATGTATTCAGGGCTGAGGTGAGGGGCCTATTAGGAGATCTCTACAAAAATCTAAACCCAAAGGATGAATTCACAAGTAAACTCAAGTTCAGAAGGGATGAGAAAAAAATTTTCTGTTTTTGACCTCAGTGTAGATAGAAGAAAATATCCCCCTGAGAAATTTTGACTACCAGGTAGTTTTCACACAAGCTTACAATTGCAATTCACACAATTATATGGTCTCCCATCCCCCTCTAAATAGAATTTAGGTAGCCAGGTATGATGGAGGACACCTATAATCCCAGCACTTGGGAGGCTGATGCAGGAGGATTGCCACAAGTTTGAGGCCAGCCTGGGCTACATAGGAAGTTCAGAGCCAGACTGAACTACATAGCAAGATCCTATCTTTATTAAAAAAAAAAATCTGGGGATTTAGCTCAGTGGCACTGCACCTGCCTCACAAGCAGAAGGACGTGAGTTCAATCCCCAGTACCAAAAACAAATGTATGTAAGGTGATCCTGGTAGCAATCCTCTTAGGAGAATGTAACTTCAGACAGCAAAGATGCCCACAAGTAAAGTTCCAAGGAACTCAGATTCACAGTCAAAAATCATAATACAAGGGCTACAGATGTAGCTCATTGGTAGAGCACTTGGTTAGCACAAAGCCCTGGGTTTGATATTTAGCAAAGAAAGAAAGAAAGAAAGAGAGAGAAAGAAAGAAAGAGAGAGAGACAGAGAGACAGAGAGAAAAAGGGAGAAAAAGAAATCACAATACACATAGAAAAATAATGCATGATTAGCAAGAGCTAGGAGAAATAACTAAGATGAACTATGTATACGTACTAGTTCCCTAAAATGAATGTAATTATTATGTATTGAAAGCATATACTAATAAAAAAGAAACAATAAAAATAATAAGACCTATACTTTTAGGTATTGGAATGATCAAATATGGAATATACGGGAATATTTAAAATGTGTTAAGAAATAAATGAGAAGCATGAGCATTTGAGCAAGGAACAAGATACAAGAAAGAACCCAGAAGCTTGGAGAAAATAAATAGAACTGCTGAGAATGGGAAATAATATGATCAAAATAAAAATTCAATGGATGGGGGCCGGGAATGTAGCTCAGTGGTGCCAAAGGTCCTGAGCTTGATCCCCGGTAGCAGAAACAAACAAACGAACAACAACAAAGAAAAACTCAGTGAATGGATTAACCAACAGATAAGAAGCTGCCAAAGAGAGAATTAGGAAGCTGGAGGCTGAAGAAGATGGTTCAAGCTTTTTCATGTCCCCTTTCAGGCTGGCTCCTGAGACCACCAGGGGCAGCCCAGGTCCCATCCTGTGAGCCGCTACCTCAGACAGGCCTTCACACTGCACGTGGGCTTGGATCCACTCCAGCCGGTCCGAGTTCTCCTTCTCGCGTACCCCCTCGTTCACCTGGGAACACAGCTCTTCTGCCTTTTCCAGTGCATGCTTCAAGTGACTGTGGTCAGGGTGGTTTTCAGGAGTGTTTTCCAGGATCTACACAGAAGAAAAAACAACCAACTTCCTTGTTGAGCCAATGTGTATAGAACTTGGGTCCGCTGTCCTTTGTTAAATGCTGCCCACCTGAGCAACCACACCTCTCAGCACCCACCAGGCAATGACACGGAGAGCGATGGCCAGTCCTGGTTCAGTGCATGAGTAGCCTTTCTTCATGGGCTCAGTGGGGGCTAAGCTTCCACCAGGAGGCAATGGATGATTCTGTCCTTGAGGCCTCCACCCAGCTCCACACCCGTGAACATCACCAGGGCAAGCAGTGTGACCTTTCCTGCAAAATGCTGGCCTCCCACGGTGAGCACCCTGCTTTGTCACTGACCAGCCATAATGTGAGTTGGTGACATAAAGGCTCTGGAAGTCAGTTTCCTCAAAGGGGATATGTAGAGAGCACCTCCTTTAGAATGTTGTTTGGGGGACTGAAGGGCCCAATACAAATGAAGCACTTTGCAAAACACCTGGCCCTTAGAACATGCTAAATAAGCGACAGCAATGACCATCAGACCCTCAAAGAATTTTGAGGCCCCTAAAAATAGTCACCACCCTTGGTTCCAGAACAAAGAAAGTCCCTAAGCCACCTGTGCAATATACCAGAATATTCAAGATGTACTTGACCAGTGCTTGTCCACATACACAAATAATTCAAAAGGACCTTACCCTGCATAACATGGCATACCTTGGCTTAAAGTCTTAAATAGGTGCTCAAATGGGGAACACATCCGATCACCACATTCTGGGTCCTGTGTGTCCACCAGTCAATTCCAAGCAACAACTTCAACCTCTGGACCAGCCTTGACTACACACTAGAATCTCTTTGAACAATTCTGAAGCTTCATCCTGACTGCATCAAAATCCTGGGGTGATTTCTGGAGCTGCCATCTTTCCAATGCTAGTGTGCAGCCACATCTGAGGGCCACTAGGCCAGACCAGGAGCCTGCAGAGCTGGCTGGTGTGAACTCATCTGTTCCACTGAGCTAAATCCCCAGCCCTTATTCCTAAATAAAAACAGGTTTGTTGATTCTTGTAATTGTAAAAGTAATGTCACCACGATGCACAAAATTTAGAAAACTTACAAAGTTATGCAGAACCTAAAATTCACCTGTGAGTTCTCTGTCAGAGAGAACTTCTGTCTACATATTAGTTAATGCACTGTACCTAAAGATTATAGGTAGAGACAGAGAGAGAGATTTTTTAAAAATAAAAATTGGGTCATACTACCATTACATGTACACCTTTATAGCACACCATTTCATATGGCTCTAGACAATCATTTTTAAGGATTCTATAGTATGTCATGGTAAGGATGAATCACAATACTTTTAAGTAGTTCTCCTCCTGTAAAACGTCATGTTGTTTCCAGTATTTCTCTGATTATTTCCTTAGACTAAATGTTTACAGGTGGAGTTGCTGGGTCAAAGAGAGATCTACACATTGCTATACAACAGGTTGTGGCCAGTTTCCTTCCACCAGCATCTTTGCTGCTGACCCTGGAGACCTACAATCTTTTCAGTCCATGCCAATCCGGCAAGCCAGAAACAAGGTGTTCTCCTATGCATTTCCTTTATTTATTACCAATAGGTTCGTAATTTCTATACATTTAGTACATAAGTATATCTAATGAACATATGTGTACTAAATGATAAAACTAACATTTATACATTCCTTAGTATAAGCCAGACAATTTATATATATTAATTCAGTTAATTCTTCCAACATTGTGCAGTAGGTACTGTTAGTGTCTCTATTTTACAGACAAGGAAATTGAGGCCCAGAGAGGTTGAAAAACTTGCCTAAGAGTACACTGAGGTGGTACCAAGATTTAAACCAGGCTGCCCGGCTCCAACAGAGTAGCTCTTTACCACTACTTTGCCCTACCACTCAGCAGCATCCAGCTGTGTATTTTACCTACTTTTCTACTGGACTATTTGAGTTTTTCAATTATATGAGTGCTTCACATATTGATATACAGATATCTGTATCTGTTTATATTTCAGTGCCTATTCATGTGCAGTAAAATTATCTTTCCATAGTTTATATCTGTCACTTGTCTTTGCTCAACATATTTTGTAACAGAAATTGTTAGGAAAAATGTTTATGCAAGTAATATATTAACACAGCTTTCTTATGAAAGAGTTAAATGTCACAGAAGTACACAGAACAAACGTGACAATTTCCTTCCCTATCCTACCCCAGAGGCCTTTTGACACAGTAGCCATATTTGTTCATGCTACTCTGCTCTATGAGATCTGCTCAGTGACAAAATTGACTAACAACACATTTCCTGGAATGTGTCCTGTTAAGCAGCACACGAATATATTTAATCACATATATATGTAATGTATATGATTGCATGTAAAGCTTTTCCCTCCTTTTGCAAAACGGAGCATACTGTAGGATTGCTCTATGAGTTCTGTTTGTTTTGTTTGCACACAACCACACTTTCTGAATACCTTTCCATGCTAATACATAGAACAGAAATCATCCTCTGGGTTTTTTTGTTGTTTTGTTTTGTTTTTTGGTACCAGGGATCAAACTCAGGACCTTGTGCTTGCCAGGCAAGTGCGGTGCCACTGAGCTGCATCCCCAGCCCTATCCTGTACTTTTAAAGACATTTTTAAAGTACAGATCCACCATAGTTTATTACCCTTTTGGAACATCTGGGTTGTTCTCCAGAATAAAAGTTTCCTTTTAGGTCCCTGTGACTCTAAGCCCTTTAAAGTTTTCGATGTCATGCTAAGAATTCCTCTACCTGTTATAAAAAGTATTTAGGGGCCGGGGATTTAGCTCAGTGGTTCCGGCGCCTTCCTCGAAAGCGCAAGGTCCCGAGTTCGATCTCCGGTACCAAAAAAAAAGAAAAAAGTATTTAGTCTTAGTATATGTGCTGCCAAAGCGAGCACAGAAGTATTTAGTCTTAGAGCTTTGTGGTTTTTCACATGTATCTTATGACCTGCCATCCTTTTCACTTTTCTTAGTTCAGCTAGCTTTCCTCCTAGGTGCCTTGGGGAGCAGCAATCGTCTTTTGGCAAATAATGATAGTTTGGCTTTTTCCTTTTTAATATGTATGCTTCTCCATTCTCTTCATGTTGTTTTTTCTCCTCATTGGTTAGATATATAACACCTATTTAAAATCTTCTTTCAAACTTCAATTTGCAACTAAACATTGGTGAAAGTAAAGAGAAGCAGTGAATTAAGTGGTAAGTGTGGGGTTGGAATCAAGGAAAAAGTAGACTGAAAGAAGCTTTCAAAATGAATTCACTCAGCCAGTGTGCGTGCAGCATATTTTATGCGTTGAGCTGGAGCTGGGCTGATGAGGTGGGTTACATGGAAGGGAAACTTGTTACGTATGAAGAGACTGAGCAAAGAAAACACGCACATGAAGGATTACAAGAGCCAGGCTTCTCACAGATACTGAGGAGTTGCAAATCTAGGCAAGGAAAGGCTGGAATAAATTCTGTGGGTTAAAATAGGAGGTACCGATGTGAATTTGTGGATTTTAATATAACAGGAAAACGGGCCCAGAATTAAATATAAGTACATGTGCTGCACACAGGTAGATATATGTGTATGGAGATGATTTCACAGCTCTGCCACTGAAAGCCTCCAAAGGCAATGACACCATCACAGCAATGAGCACACCAGTGCCCAGATCTGGGTTTCTAAATATCATTCTCCATCAGAAGGAACCAGATCTGAAACCGTTCTCCAGGAACTATACACCCCGTGGTTATACAAGCATGGCCTCAGAGGACATTCATGTGTGTTCCCTCATTTTCTAGACAGGGACTCTGAACTCTAATTTTGTTCTTTTCTTTTGTTATTGGCTTTCTTAATTCTCTTTTTTTTTTTTGGTATTGGGTATCAAACTCAGGACCTCGCACTTGCCAGGCAGGTGCAGTGCTCCTGAGCTAAAGCCCCAGCCCTATGGCTTTCTTGATGTGACAAGAGAAAAGCAATCATCCAATGGCATTCTGAAAATGGGTGGCAGGAATCATGTTTCTTTCTCTCTTTCCTGCTAGGAAAATCAAGGTGTAGAGGCATTGTGCCTATATTAGGAAAAGAATCAAGAACTGAGCTCTCATTCTCTGGCTTAGCAGGTAGAAACCAACTAATCGCACATATAAAGGTTGTTCATTCTTTGCTCTTTTCATAATCACCAGCTTTTTTTCTCTGACTTACTAAGCAGATGGATGCAGAACCCTGCTGTTGTATGATTTCTGCATAATAGCTACCAGGTGTGTTGGCTGGGCAACCTGCCCATGCCCCAGCCCCCTCCAACACGAGGAAGCATTCCTCTGCTGCAGGAGGCAAGGCAAGTACTTACATTTTTAATGATCAGTGGGTATCTTGTTACCCGCTGCATAGGCTTCAGTATAAAACTAGACAGTGGCATCCCTTTACATCGAGGGTCCATTGCCAATCTCTGAAACAAGAGATTTTTAAAAATGTACTTCAGAACTCTGCAAAATCCAAAGTCAGTGATATGGACACCAATGGCATTTAGGACCCTCCCACCCATGATTCCAATTATCTGGATGATCACTGAGGAATCTGGGACTGAAAAGATCTGACCAGTTAGCCGGCTCCAGGTGAAGCAGTTCCAGAGAGAGAATGTGACCCAATATGACCCATTCACCAGGATATGTCCTGCTCTCCAGAGTCAGTAAACCTTCCCTGGACACACGGCTTCTTACACAAAGAAGATTCTGGCTCAACACAGAATATGTCTTCTGAGTATCTGAAAAAAATTGATGATATTCCAGGGAGCAAGAAGAATCACAAGACTATATGGTCGGAATAAAAATTTCCCTTAAGTCCTAGAAATGCTAGAAGGGCTGAATCTCCTTGCCTACTTTGGGTGGGGCCAGTGCACAGTTCTGGGAGCTCCAGGAAGGGCTGGAGGCAAGGGGAGCTGGGGCTTATGGGCTAAGACTCCAGAATGGGAGCCTATGGTTCGTCTCCACCCTCAGCTCCCTGCCTCTGTCCTCCCACCACTATTGCGAATTACATCAACCCCTCTGGTGGACAAGAGTCCTTCTATCCCGAAAGGAAGAGCCCTGTCTACGAGTCACACAATGACTTCCCTCTTAAAGGCTCTGATCAAGTTTAATGCTGTGATCTGGAGCTCTGAGGTCTGGAAATGTCAGCCCTGATGTCCAGCCATAGACATCATCATCCTGGGGACACCTCTCAGCAGGCAAAGAGGTACTGAACTCCTGCTGGGATGAGGCAGAGAGAGGTAGAGAGGAGAGGAGGGTGGGAGGCAGTAAGCACCTTGCCTGGGGCTGTTGTTCGCATTTCCCTGAAGTTCAAGTGCACCCATGATGACCTCATCCTGCCTGTGACCAGGAACTGGCTACAGGCACCTGCCCTCCCTTCTCTATGCCCTCTTGTCCTGCTTCTTAGCCATCTTTCTCATCATTGAATGCCCTCAAAATACCCCATGGGTTGGCTAGCAAGTCCAAGTATTTAATGTTGAGAAACACCAAGGGCCAAAAAGAAACCACAAGCTTTCATGAGGCTATGACTAAGAAGAGGCCACACTTATCCCTCACTTAAACCTCCACAAAACATGATTCGTGGGGAGGGAGGAATGCCCTGCCCTCTAAGATGCCTGAGGCACAAAGATATGACTGTTATTCTTATTGTTGTTCTGTTTATTAATCAAATTATACCTGTTTAATGGAAATTATTTTATTATCTTCCTATTTTTTTCTTCTGGGAGAGGAGGAGGCTATTTGAGCACCACAGACCCACCCTGGCCAATGCCAAGTGCCAGGATGACAGGCCCATTGTGGAGGCCTCAAGCAGCACTGGCAGCATTGGCAGCACCTCCCTAAGTGGCTCCTGCTGGACACAGGGCTCTCCAGACCTGCTAGCGCTAAGGCAGAGGTCATGGCATCCCACAATGACTCCTGTGGGCTGCCTGGAGCCTGAGCCCATCAAGCAGAACCAAGTGGAAAGAGACAAAAGAGCCACTGGGACCCCTGGCCATTCTCTCTGGAAGTAGAAGCAGAAACCACCAAAGAACAGAGGATACTGACATTAAACAGAAAGAACTTTCTAAACAGAAACCTGGTTGCATAGGAAATAGCACCAGGAATCAGCAAATGGTATCATACCAAATTAAAAAGCTTTTGCATAGCAAAAGAAACAACAGAGTGAAAAGAAAACCTACAGAATGGGAAAAAAAATTCCCATATATTCCTCAGATAGAGGACTAATATCTAGCTAGAACAGTGGTGGCAAACCTATGGCATGCAGGCTGCAGTGGGCTGTTTGTATCACTGGACGCTCTAAAAGGTTCTCTCTCCATCACTGATCTAAAACATGTAAAGAACTAAAAAAAAATTAGCCCCTCCAAAACAAAAGACCCAGTCAAAAAATGAGCAAGTGAAATGAACAGACATATCACACAAGAAGAAGAAAAAATGGCCTATAAGTACATGAAAAATGCTCTACATCACTGGCCACTGGCCACAAATTAAAACAACACTGAGATTCCATCTTACACCAGAAAAAATGGGCATTATCAAGAAATCAAATCAGCTGGTGAGGCTGTGGGGGAAAAGGAAACATTCTACTATGTGGGTGGGAATATAAACTAGTACAATCACTATGGAAATCAGTATGGAGATTCCTCAAAAAAATGAAATTAGAAATTCCATTCGACACAACTATTTCCCTTCTAGATATATTCCTGAAAGAATTAAAGACACCACAATACAGTGATTCATGCATACCCATGTTTATAGCAGTATCACTCATAAGAACTAAATCTTGGAAGCAGCGTGTATGTCCATGAACAGATGAATGGATAAAGAAAATATGGTATTTACACACAATGGAGTACTACTCCGCCATGAAGAAAGATATACTAAAGTCATGTGTAGGAAAATGAATGAAGCTTGAGACTATAATGTTAAGTGAAATCAATCAGACACACAAGCTTAAATATCACAGGGTTTCTCTTATATGAAAAACCCAAATTATAAATAAAGACCAAAATAAAATAGAGATAATAAGAAGTTGGGAAATAGATCTTTCTCAGATGGGAAGGGGATCAAGATACAGAGAGAGAGGAGGAAAAGGAGATGAACAAAGGAGTTAAGATGTGTTCTGTACATGTACCAACTCCACACAAGGAATGTAAACAATATGTACTGCAAACATGTACTAACAAAAAAATAAAAGTATGAATGACACATAAAAAAAAATAAAAACAGAAGGAGAATCTGGAGCCCTACCTGGGCTTGCAAGTGAGATACAAGGTTTAAACATGCCTGCCCACTAATACCTGGGAAAGAGATCTCTGAAGACACATCAAAGCTTCCAGGCCTGGAGCCAAACCCTCCTCTCCTAGCCCACCCCCTTCCAGCTAGTGCCACTCCCCTGTTGCTTAGCCAGGACTTCAGTCCATGCAGGCCTTTCACAGAAAGATGCTTGCCCACCTTTGATGGTGCCTCATCCCTCCCTCAGCTGCCTACAGAGCGCCATTCTGGAAAGGGTCTCCCTGCAGCCTGGTCTCCTCACCTTGACAAACTCCTTGAAGTCCGGGGCCTCATCCGTCTTCTGCTGGATTAGGGCAGCCCCATTGAGCTGGCAGCTGCAGAAGCGGATGTATGGCTGCATGTGTGGCAGCTGGGCGCTCAGAATGTCACCGATCATCTTCACGGGCATCTTCTCCCCAGACATCTTCTTGCGGACTCTCAGCGCTCTGCATGGAAACATGGGAGGTGAGCCCCCGCCTTTGTGCTGCCTGACAACACTGCAGCATACGTCTAGGTTGTACAGAAATGGAACATATATGAGGGGCACAAACCTGAGAGCCACTAAAGCATCTACTTGGGAGATAAGGAACAGAGAAAGAAATGAGTCTAATGCTACACAGAGGTGTTGCTGGGGCATTTTTCTTTAGCACACTGGACGACTGTCACAATTTTTTTCTTGTGGAAAAATACGCAATTTTTTCCTTAATAATTTAAGATCCCTGTGTTGGTGTCTCGCTTCATGGATTCTCTGTGGGGTGACAGCCCCAGGCTGGTGTGGCTTGAGCACTGGTCCCATTTCAGGTCCACTGCTGCCCAAGGGAAGTTGGTGTTACCAGGAGATGGGCAGGTACACTTTCAGAACATAATTAAAATGGTAAGTCAATTGCCACAAAAAAAAGGTTTGCCAAAACCAGGTGGGAATGATCATTTGAACTACCTCTCCCATTAACTGCTTCATTACTGTGGTTACTGTGGCCAACTGGAGGTAGACTGGATCAAGAGTTCTGAAAGAGAAATCTTTCACTATGACGTGGGCTGAGTCCAGACAACTCATACCCTGGAAGCCAAAAAGAAGTAGTAGAAGGACTGGGAATGTTTGTTCTGGGGTTCATTTGCTTTGAGAGTGCTCAGAGTCATGACAGCCAGGACTGTGTGTCTGTTCTTCCAGCTCTAACACAAGATGTGATGATAAAAAAAAAAAAGGTGAATATGTACAACTCCCCACAGGGAATGCAAATATTATGTACTACAAACATGTACTAATAAAGAAAATGATTTGAAAAAAAGAAAAAAATGTATGGCATTTAAATTTTTTAAATGTATTATAGTAAAAGACATATTGCCATTAACTCCCCTCAAAATATATTCTCATTTTGCATACATTTATTCCATTATTCTTGTCACTTTCTGAAGCAGTTTGGGAGTCCATTTTTATGTCTTATAAAGTGAGCTAGAGGCCGGGGATTTAGCTCAGTGGTTCTGGTGCCTGCCGCGCAAGCACAAGGTCCCGAGTTTGATCCCTATTACCAATAAATAAATAAATAAATAAATAAATAAATAAATAAATAAATAAAGTGAGATAAAAAATACAGTGAATGTTGCTGTTGAGTACCATCCAGCAGGAAGGCAAGCTGATAAAAACATTACTGTGTATCCTCATTCACCTTATTCACTGGATCTGGCACCGTGTGATTCATGGTTCTTCCCCAAGGTCAAAATGACCATAAAAGGTAAACGTTTTGAATCAATTCAGGACATTGAGGCAGCCATGACAGCATAACTAAAGACATTCATGAAAGAGGGCTTTCAGTACTGCTTCAGAAAGTGACAAGAATGATCAGAGGTCCAAAGCTGGGGGTGGATGGGGGGAGATAGTTAAAGGGAGATTAATGCAACATGTCTTTTACTGTTTAAATTTTTAAAATTTACTTTTTAAAAATTTAAACACTGTTTTTTGATCATAACTCATATGTGAACCCTTAATACCAGCATCTGAAAGATGCTCAGCTTCTACATGGCAAGGATAGCAATGTACTACAAGGGAAAGACAACCACATGGGAGGCTGTGTGTTCAGCTGCCCTAATGATCACAGGTGGGCCAGTGGATGGAACAGAATGGTGTGAAAAATATGACTTTTATATAAAGTTGAAGAGATGTCTCTATGAATTCCTTTGGCTGCTTTCATGGTTACACTGTGGAAGCCTTTGAGGTATGAGTAGGGCTATGTAATTCTAAGGAGGCTCTGCAATATTAGTCTTAGGGTTTAAAAACTTCAGATCACTTTCTTTTCTTCCTCCTACATTTTTTGGCTAAAGAAAATTAACTTGGACTGAGCAAGGCAAGGAATGAAATTCCAAGGTCAATGAATTATGTGAGCAATCAGCAATTCCACCTCCAGTGGATGCCCTCATGAGAAAGGTAAGTGCTGGTTACCTGGGGGTGTGAGAAATGGCAGCTTGGTGTCCTCCAGGTATCCCAAAGGCCACTGTCCCATAGAGGTAGTGGTGTGAAATATTCCTGCACTAGTAATTTGGGGGATAAGAGTCTGGAATAACCATGTTACATACTTGCTATGGGTAGAAACAGGAAGAAGTTTTATTATTTTCCCATGAGGAACAGTTTTTCTGCAAGGGAATAAAAGTACTTCACCCTCACTCTCCCTTTTAAATGATAAGCCAGACAAGAAAAGGGGGAAAGAAGGAAGATCGTATGCATACAGTCATGCCTTGAGGATGTTAGACCACTTCCTGCCTTCTGGAGGCCCACACCTGAAGTCTCAAGTTGCCCAACTAGGATTGAGGCCTAAAATCAAGGCCCAGGACCTGGCACCTATCAGGTTCAGTTGTGGGTCTCTTTGTGGAACTTTCTACTGAACAGGCAGGACTTGGGAGAAGTGGAGAATGGGCCAGGGAGCCAGGGGTCATGTGATTTAATTGTTGAAACCACAGCCCTAAGATTACTCAGCTCTCAGGTGAGCTAATTTGCTGTCTCATAGAAAGGTTTACAGAGGAGAAGCCTTGAACTGGGAAGGCTAATGGATCACCTAGGAACATTTCACAGAGCGCTCAGTGTTTGCTGAATGAGCCAGTGTTCCCTTCCCACTGAAGTCTGCAGACTGAGTGGACAGTCAAAGGCCAGAAGGTATTAATGCTTCCTATATGCCAAACGTTTATAAAAATGGAAGCTGAAGCAGGATCACAAGTTTGAGGCCAGTGTGGGTGACTTAGTGACTTAGTAACACCCTGTCTCAAACTAAAAAAATATTAAAATGGCTGGGATATAGCTCCACACCCAGTGTGGAGCCCCTGGGTGCAATGCCCAGTACCCTCCCCCCCGACACACACATGCACACACATATATTACTGCTATAGCTTGGATCTGAAATGTCCCCAAAGGACCATTTGGTAAAGGCTTGGTCTCTACTCCACTCATGGTGCTACTGGGAAGAGGTGGAACATTTAAGAAGTGGGGCCTTGTTGGAAGACGGTTAGGTCTTTGAGGGGACATTGGGACACTACCCACTTCCTGTCCCTCTCTTTGCTTCCTAGCTGACATGATGTGAGCAGCCTCCTCTTCCACTGTGATGTACTGCATCGCCACAATGGATGACAGAAGGAATGGGGCCAATTGCCCATGTCTGAAACTCCCCAAACTGGGCCAAAATAAACCCTTCCTTTTGCTAAGCTGATTATCTTAGGCATTTGTTATAGTAACAGAAAGCTGACTAACACAATTACTTATTATCTTCTTCTCCTGTTAGAGAAACTGAGGCACACAGGCAGTGAATGATCAACTCACTATCACACAACCAAAGTCACGCAACTCATAAGAGACAGAGGCAGCTCTTGAAACCAAGCCTGACCCCGCCCCACCTCCACCCGACCTGAGGCAACTCTGGTACCCATCCATCTCCCCAGAGGCAGCTTCTCCTTGTGTCCCCCTCCATGTCCCTCTGGGCCCCACACCCTCAACCTTTGCTCCTTCCCTCTGCCTGCTCTCTCTTCTCTTTTTCTACCCACTTCCAGCCCACAGTTCCTTCTTTCCTCCCATCTGGTCTTAACCACTAGGATATATTTTTATATTTTGTTTTCTTTTGTCTTCCACTTAAACAAAATAAAATACTGCCAACTCTTCTCATGTGAAAAAGAAGGTAAATCACATACTTTGTATTTAAGAAAAACATATCTTGGAAAAGCTCCTCTTCCTCTTCCTCTTCCTCTTCCTCTTCCTCTTCTTCTTCTTCTTCTTCTTCTTCTTCTTCTTCTTCGTCTTCGTCTTCGTCTTCGTCTTCGTCTTCGTCTTCTTCTCCTCCCCCCCCCTCCCCCAACAAGGGGCCAGGAAAGAATCTTCCATTCCAGTACCTGGGTTGGCTGCCTGACCTTATTCCTCTTGCCTTATGTTCTCACTCCTGACTGTGGCCCCAAGGAGCTGGCACCTGAGCCCTGGATATAAAAAGGCTCCAGACCTTTCTGTGCCGCTCTGCTTACTGAATGCACAGTTCTCAGCTCACCATCGAGGCTACCAACCATCTGCTCTAACCTCCAAGCACAGGCATTGTTGGTAGGAAGCCCTTATTTCACAGTCAGGCCCTTTTTCTTTCCATTTGAAGATTTATTATTTATTTGATAAATTCTATGGCTCCCCTGAATACAAAGGTGTCCCCTAATCCTGGGATCGGGCATGGCGGAGAGGAGGTAGCACGCTGGTGGCAGTCTAGGGAGTGCGGCCCTAAATCCCCTTTGTCCCTGTGCCTCTCCTACCAGCCAGCCAGGAGTCCCTAAACCTCCCAGTCTTCAGCCGGCCTCCTCTGCAGGAAGAAACGATGTCTACGCAGCCAAGCAAACAGAGAAAAATGCACTATTTACAGTGTGGGTGCCCACTCCACTGTACTTTCAAGCTCTCTGTCATTTTGAAATTTTCATAATGAAATGTTGGCAAGGAGAAAAAGAAACAAGATACTGAGAAGGCACCTGATAAATACCAGTATTTTATCTGGAAGATGAAAACATTAGCCAGTTTGCTGAGATTGCAAATCAGGTAAACAGAAGAACAGCCAGGGAGAAGAAGGGTTGGGAACACCCAGGCAGGTTTACACCAGGAGGGACAGCAAGGCAGGTGGACCCCAGACCTCCTGCTCCTCGCTCGGAACCACCTTGCAGCAGACAGGACAGGCACCCTGACTTCGATCTCACGTGGGAGCTGCAACAAAGGGTGGGAGCTTCCTGCCTAAGGTAGCAGCCTTGAAAAAAATTAGAAGGTGCTAGAGCCAGGACAAAAACTTGGAGCTTGTACCTCCTGGCTCTGTGTTCTTTCCGTGCATGGCATAAATGAGTGGAATCCCCTGTTCTGGGACCCTGAATGTCACGCACAGAGCGGCCTGCTTACTGTGTGACTTTCCATAAGTCATTCAGCCTCTCTGGGCTTGGATTCCCCAGCTGTCAGCATTCTCTGTCATTCCCTCAGAATGGTGGAGCAGGTCAGAGATAACAGGAGGAGAAAGCACACTGCCTGGCCCCACAGAGCTCGGGAGAGTGCTGCTCTGTTCCCCTGCAGGCACAGGAGCAGGAAGGAGGGTTAAGAGCAGGAAGGTGACGGAAACAGGCCAGGAGCTGAAGGTGAGCAAGGCCCGAGGCCGACTGCTGGGGAGCGGGAGGTGGCCCTTCTCGGGCACTAGGGAACAGCACTTTCACTTAGAAACGTGTTTTCAACAGAAAGCTTCTGTGTTTTTAAAAGCCACGTGTCTTCAACACTTTAGGCTCAGGAGTTGATAAAGCTTACATCTTTGTCACCCAAGAGCCTCACGCGCTCATAAGCCGGGCTTTTGGAAGGTGCTTGGATTATGGGAGTTTATAGCTGGCTTGCTGTTAGGAAGCCGGTCTGATGGAAGAGGCGGTCCCTGGGGGCGAGGCCTGGAAGGGCTCCTCTCCCTCCCCGGCTCCTCCCTCTTCTCTCTGCTTCCTGTCAGGCTGCAGTGAGCAGCTCTCCTCCTCCACGCGCCCCCTGCCATGTCACCCAGCCTTGGAGCGAGCCAACTTTGGGCTGAAACCACTACATACCGTGAGCCAAAATAAACCTCTCCTTTAAATTGTGGGTGTCAGGCATTGGGCCTTAACAAAAAGGTGACTAAGATAGTAGTTGTAGGTCAAGGTGAACTAACCCCTTCTGCAGGGCAGCCTCTCTCCAAGCCAAGAGTGCGGGTTCAGCTTCTACCACCGGGGACCCCAAGGCCCCAGCCCCGCAGTTACTACAGACCAGGGCCTCATTGTCTGAGTGCTGGTGGGATAGGTAGGATAGGGGAACGGTACTTTATCATCCCTGCTGCACTTTGGATACTTTTGTGTCCCCAACGGTTGGGGTGCTAGAAGCCTGGCCCCCAGTGTGGAAGCACTGAGGTGGTGGGACTTTTTTTTTTTTGGTACCGGGGATCAAACTTGGGACCATGCACTTGCAAGGCAGGCAGCAGAACCACTGAGCTAAATCCCCTGCCTCAGTGGTGGGACTTTTTTTTTTTTTTGGTACCAGGATTGAACTCGGGTCCTTGTGCTTGCGAGGCAGGCAGCGGAACCACTGAGCTAAATCCCCAGCCCCAGTGGTGGGACTTTTAAAAGGTGGGAACTAGCACAAGGAATGAGGTCACTGGCAGAATTAGCGTAGCCCTCACAGGATCTTGGCTAGTTCCCTGGAGAAAGAGAGGTAAAAAGGTAAGCCTGGCTCCTGAGTCTCTCCAGCTTCCTGCCTTGTGTGTGATCTTCTCACACTTTCTCCTGCCGCCATGATGCCATCCACCATGAGGCCTCCCACCAGAGGCCGAACAGATGGAGCTGCCCAATCTTAGACTTCCAGCCTCTAAAACTGTGAGCCACATAAACCTCTTTTCTTTGTTTTTTGTTACAAAAACAAGAAAAGGGCCAATAAAATCCCCATTTTACAGGACATTGAGGCCCAGGGACTATAAGTGACCTCCCCAAAGACACATAGCCAGAAGGCAACAGCAAAGTGTAAGCCCAAGAGTCCAACACCCATGTTATGTTTAGAACACTTCTGCATCCCCCTCCACAAGAGGTCAATGGAAAGACTTTCTCCGTGTGCCTGCCTGGGCTCATCCGTGATTGTTATCCAGAGCACACAACAAGCAGAATTTTATGTCTTTATGTTTGCCTGTCTGTGCCTGTTTCTCCCTCTCTTCATGCATTGCAAAACACACACCCAAGACAGTAGGTACACGACATTATTTTACAAAAACAATGCAGGATACTCAGTGGTGGAGCACTTGCCTTAAATGTGCAAAGCCCTGAGTTCAATCTTCACCCTCCCCCCACCAGAGAAACAACGAACAAAACAAAAACAACACAGGGGTCACGTTTAGGAAATGGTAGTTTCCCAAAGACCTGAACCTAGAGATCAGGGCCAGACACAATCTTTGGGGCTGAGGAGAGGGCCTTGCTCCTAGCTGGTATATCCACCCATGCCCTAGAGGCCAGGATTAGTGTGTGTTCTAGCAAGTCACGCTATAGTCAGGACCTGGTGAACAAGGATTTGGGGTTTTGATCTTTCTTTCTTTCATTCTAGCATGACAAAAGATCCTTGTGATGATTGCGTCCAACCCCCTCATTTTACAGATTGGGAACCTGAGGCTCAAAGAGGAAAAGCAATGAGGTAAAATCCAAACCCAGGTCTCTGCAAACTAAAGTAGGAATGAAACACCAACGGCTGCAGGTGGGGCTTCTCAGAGCCCTTCCAAGACAGGGGAGTCTCCCCAGTTTCTATCTGCCACCAGAGACCCTGAGGGTAGGCTTTGGGGCTGGGGTTGTACCACTACCAGGATGGAGCTGGCTGTCGATCGGGAGCCAGAATTGGCCCTACTCTGGAAATTCTGGGACAACAGTCAAAGCAGGATCCGGGATGCCTTGGAGATTTGCTCCCCATAATTAGGAACTGGGAGTGAATTTGTGGAAAGCACGAAGGCAGAAGCAGGTGATGGCACTTGTGAGTGGCAGTGTGCAAAACAGGCAGAGAAAGACACAGGGCAGCATGCACAGGGACACACGGACCGACTGCACGAGGTGCTGGTATGGGAGCCAGGAGCGGCGAGGTAGGGGTTAGAGAAGAAAGGCTTACTTCAGTAGTTTGATATTACACATTATCAGCTCCTTCCAGTTAACAAAAATCATAGCAACCTCTTTCTCTGTCAGCAGCTCAGACTCCATCAGGGGTTTCTGAAAGATCTACGTGCAGAAAACGGAGCAGTTCAGAAAGCAAACAGTTAGCTCAAAATCCACGCGTGCACGCACCAGTCTGTTCAGAGCAAGGGAAAGGACGGGGCTGCAGCTCAGCCAGATGCCCACCTTCCCGCTGGGGACTGAGCAGATGGGAGGGTCCCCACCAGGGCTGTGTTATCTTCCAGGGAGGGAAGCCAGGTGAGTCCCTGGAGGATGGGTCCTAGCTCCACCAGTAAGAACCTGGGAGCCAGTACAGCATCATACAGACCCACTGGGCTGTCACCTCCCACTGGGAGGAAATGGGCTCAGGGGGAAAGGTGACAGTCAGGGATGAGCCTGCAGCATCTCCTGCCCCTAACAAGTAGCTATGTAAGGGCCCTCGGGAATGAGTCCATTGCTTTGCCTCAGCAAAGCCGGTTGTGGACAGAGCCAGCCAGCACTTGTCGGGGCAGTTAAAGGGGGGAAGGTGAAACCCTGCTCTTATGTGGTTGGGCAGCTTGCAGTAAACATCAGATCTCACTGGGACCCCAAGGAGTTGATCCTCCTGCTTACAAGGTGTTCCTTATCAACTGTCTCAAGGGGCAGGAGGCACTTCAGAAGGTTCTTTAGGGATGGGGAAACAGCCCATCTTTGAAATAAACTCGACCCCTGGGAGCCCTAATCCCTATGAGTCCTTACACCGGTGTTGAATCAGGCAGATCCCGGGGTACCCTGTTTCACATCTAAAGGGGGGATACTCACATCCTAGTCACCTACACTGTATATTTAATAGCAGTCCAATGTCTGGAGCCACCCTTTTTAAGTTGCACCACTGCCCGTGTGTTAGTGGTGGCTTGTGGGCTAGAAACCCAAGCTGTGGTCTCCCAACACTAGGTAGCCCGGCCGTGTCTCTCTGGGGCATTAGGACTATCCGACGAGATGGTTTCACAACCTTTGGTGGGATGCAGGTGGTTTCCAAACCACTAGAGGACTTTTCAAGTTGTAGGGTGACCTCAGGTCCAGCTCTGCAAATTTGTTCCACCAAAAGCTTGCTTTTTCAGCACCCCAACTCCACATCACCCCATCTTTCTGGACAGGGTAGATAAAGCCCTTCGATGACTACCTGGGGAACAGACCAGATGAGGCATCATCCCAGGCCAGCGGCGCTCACAGAGGAAACACCTTCGTGCTCAGGGACAGATTTACTAGGAACATCTGGAGACACCAGCAAGCTGGTCACCATTCCAGATGCCAACACTGAGGGCCAGGGACAGGATGTGACCAGCTCTATGGCACCAACCAGTTTGCAGCTCAGGTGCCCACTGGGACAACAGAGTTCTGCCCCTCTGTGGGTGTGACTCAGAGCATAGCGAGCACATGACTGTCTCTTCTAGGGAAGATCTGTCACTCGGTGGCCATATGCCCCTTCTACGTCAGAGTGTCCCCAACACAGCTGTCTATGGCAGGGCCCCTGCCTCTCCCTGTGGCCACCTACAGCTGCCATTACCTCTGTGACCAGCTGCAGGTCGTTCACGTAGTTCTCCTCTGTGACAATGAGTTCGTGGATGTATCCTTGTCGTTTTCTTTCAGTCGGGGTCAACATATCCAAGAGATGTAAATCTGAACACCCTGGAAGACAAAAACATTGGAGACAATTAGTCCAGGTCTAGGGACTTCACAGCGTCACAGAGAAGACACCCCAGGCCCTCATTCCAGGTGAGCGGTGCTGTGGGTTGAACCGTGTCCCCTAAAGCTGTACTGAAGCCCTAAGTCCTTGTACCTGTAAATGAGACCTTACTTGGAATTAGGGACACCAAGTTTAAAAGAAATCATAGAAATGAGGATGGGCTGAGCTCCAACATGGCCCGTGTCCTAAGAAGACAAGGACACAGAGACACAGAAGAATGTAACGACAGTGGCAGAGGGAATGATGCAGCTACTAGCCAAGGAATGTCAAAGATTGCCAGCAACATGAGAGGCAACACCAGAGGCCAGAACAGATCCTCTCGAAGCCCGCAGAGGTGGGTGGCCCTGCCCGAACCTTGATTTTAGACTCTTGGGCTCCAGAACTATGAGACAATCAATTCCAGCTGTTTTAAGCCACCAAGTTTGTGGTCCTTTGTCACAGCAGCCCCAGAAATGAATAGGGGCAGCACATTCCTGCTCCATTCTAACCATGAAAATGATGTTGAAAGACTTCGTGACCATTTCCCAGCTTTACATTGGTAACTGCCTTTAATTCCCCTCTATTATACCAGCATTCTTCCCATTATGCAGATGAGGAAACTGGGACTTGGAGAAGTAGGCTCACCCCAGATCTCAGCTTGGCAGTGCTGAAGGCTCCAGAGGCCAGGTCTACCGTGGATCACTGCTGTTAACCCTAAGCTATCGGAGGGCACACAGATATCCTGATGTTGGATTTGGGAGAAGGTGGCTCTGCTGAAGCTCCCATGGGACCTGGGGACCAGAGACATGCAGGACATATCCAGAGAGAGCTGGGACATCTCTTCTGGACAAGGTTGCTGCCCGAGCCCTGTGGAAGCTGAGCAACAGCTCAGCATGACGTCTCTGTGGAGGCCAAAACTGCCCAAGAGAATGGCTACTCCAACGCCCTGACGCGGGCCTTTGCCTCTGCTCACTTAGCTTGTCATTTGGGGTTTGTATGTTTGGAACATGTGTAGCTCATTGGCTAAGTCTGCCCCCTGCCCCACCGGGAATTGAACTCAGGGCCTTGGCTTGCCAGGCAGGTGCTGCTGCTGAGCTACATCCCTGCCCCTCAATACTCTGAATTAAAGGATGGGGAGGCTTCTTTCCTGGGAGCACCCCGCGTGCAGGACTTGACACACCTTTCCAGGCCAATAGTCCCCTTCACTTCATTTTATTAGAGATTTTTAAATTAACTGCACAAGTCAGATTTGTGGAATAGACTAGGAAGTGTAGCAGATGTAGGTAGGGCTGATTCCCATTCATTTTCATTTCTTGTCCTCCCTGCTTCCCACAAGGGGCCGCGATGGAGCACAGTGCAAGATCCTTTGCCAGGCCCCAGACCTGTGGTGTCAGCATCCCCTTTGGGCTACAGTTTTATATTACCAGGCTCCTGGCCAAGTTGACTCCTCAGGGTGAGGTCTGGAAATTTGTGATTCAACAAGCTCTCCAGGTGAGATTTTAAGGTTTGCTGAAGTTTGAGAAGGTTGCTCTGGACAGCCTGGGATTCCTTGAGATTCCATCTCCTTCCCCTGAGGGGGTTACCTGGACTCCTGACTAAGCTGGTCTATATGCTGGATGCTTCTGCAAATAGAATGATCCCTCTCAGACACATGACATCATGGATTCTTGGCAAATGCTTCAGCTGCTCCAGAGATTAGCTCTAGGGCTGCCCAGCCCTGATTTTGTTCCCGCTCCTTGCCAATCGCTGCATAACCTCTCTTGTTGGGACAGGAACATCTCAGGACCAGCAGGAAGTTGACAGGAAAGCAGCAGGAATGAGCCATCCTTATATTAGTGCCCTCTACGCCCTCTATCTTGGACCTCATGAGAAGGGCCACGTGCAGGGCTGAGCTGGACTCCCTGGGGCCGCAAGGTGAGTGTGAACCCTTGCACAGAATGCAGATGGATCTGAACTTGGGTCTCAGCTCAGCCACCCTCATGGCCCTGCTCTTCTTCCTGCCCTGAGGTGCTCATCATCTTTTCTGATAGCAGCCACCTCAGCAGTGAGTTCTCTGGAAGAAGCCAGGCACGGTTGCTCACTCACTGCACTCAGCCAGCTTCTGCCCAGCTGCTGTGTGGCTCAGGGTTCTGGAAGTGAGGGGCCTCCCTGATGTCTTTAACTTCCTGGAGAAGTCACCCAGGAAACATTTCTGAACCGTGGGAGGGGTGCATCCAGTTGCTACCCTATTTTTACCCCATTGTCCTGAGAGAGGCCAAGGGGCTAGGACGCTGGACATTTCTTATTCAGTGGCCAAATACAGCCCATGTATTGGAGCTGTGTTCCTCTCTCCGATGCAGACTCCACTGGGGTTTTCAAGACATGCCCTTCTGCGGGGATATTAGAATACTGGCGAAGAGGAGGCAGGTCTGAATCTATTTCGAAAACACTAAGAAGCAGGATTCATAGTGACACAAACATCAGGTGGGTAGTGGACCCTGGCTGGACCCCCAAGTGTCCCTTTAGGTCACAGTTCCCTTGGAGAAGACTGAGATGTTATGGGCCCCTGCCCCAGCACACGCATGTGTATCACACACACGACACACGTGCATTTTGGAGACCATTTCATCAGGTTCCAAAGCCCTCTTGAAGCCTGTTCATAGACCTCATGCATTCACTAAACAGACGTCCCTAGACACACAGGAGGTTGAGGGGATACTGCACCCTCATTGCAAAGGCTGAGAGTGCATTCTTGTCCTAATGACAAGATAGTTGCTGGAATTTGCCAGGCTGGGCCATTACTGGTAAATGACCCACAATATACAGGACAGAGAACTGCCTACTTCACCTGCCAGCAGACCCTGTTAAGAAACCTGGACATTATTAAAGCAGAAACTGACAACCAGATTAGGATTATGTTCTGAAACAAGGAGGTACAAGGGGCCTGGAGACACATCTAGAATGACTGAGGAACCAGAAACAAAGACCTGTCAGGAAAGTGATGCTTGCTTTGGACTTTAGCTCTTCTGGGTCCCAAGTTTTACTTGGAGTAAGTCTTAAAGAAGCTCAGTGTCAGAGGAACTACAGAAGGTCCAGGGTAAATTAGGACCACTGAGCTGAGAATCCCAGGTGCCCGGGGCCAGTTCAGATGGGTCTGATGGCTTCTATGTGGCCACCAACTCTAGGCAGCTCCAGCCTTCTGGGCGTGCTGGGTATTGGGGTCTCAGAGTGCTGGGTGGGTCTGGGCAGCTCGCCCCAGTGAATCCCACCCCACGCAGGTCCAACTGTCAGCTTCCTTGGAGACAGGAGTCAGCACTGGTAGCCTCTCCAGGACCCAGAACCCAACAAGAGGCCAAGATTTCATGGAGAGATTCATCTCCACATTGCAAACCAATCATGTAGACTTGAGCTGGTCTCTCAGCCACGAAACCGACCCACGGGATGTTTAACAAATTCTTGCTGGTGAATGCCAGACCAGGAGAACCACAAAAGAAGTGAAAAGACATTTTTAAACTCAAAAATATCCTTCCTTTGAAAATGTAATATTTAGAAAAATAACAGTTAAAAAAAAAGAAACCTCCATTATTCAAAACAGGATAAATGGAAAAGACATTTCAAATAAAAAAAAGTTTGTATTAGGGATGGAGGGAGGTGGCCCTTCTCTCCTTTGGGTAGCAGGATAAACATGGTGTGCCAGCCCCCCTTGCCAGCGAAAAAGGAGAGCATAAAGGATGGCGAAGGATTTTCCATGGACAGGCAGGAGGAATGAAGGGAGACTCATAACTTACTAAAATCCACTCACAGCTGAAATAATATTGGAAATATTGCAAGTGACTCCAAGCAGTTAAAAATGTTACCTCATTACAGTCCACATAAAATTCCTAATCTATATGCCTACATTTTGTATAATTTTCTTAAACACATTTACAAAGTAGAGCAAGCTGTGACGCCCCTTTGGAAGACAGGGATGCGTAAATAAATCCTGGGGAAAAGTATGGGAAAATCTTACCCCAAAAAGGTCGTCTTGTCCCCTTTGACCATTGTTCATATCATGGAGTAATTTAAATAAATCTTTTTAATACAAAAAACATGAACAAAAGCCTTTAGGGTAAAAAATGGCTGTGACTCCTCTTCTCACCTCTAGTCACTGTATCTTTCCCAACAAGGAGCATAATATTGAGACCCAAAGTAGCCCTCACAGCAAGCTGGCCATTGGGCAAAGCAAACAAACAGGCTCGGTTCCTGTTATCAAAGGGCCAAAGTATACAGTAAATTGGTCAATAAATATTTATTAAGTTTGCAGGAAGTCCAAGAGACACAGAGATCAGCAAGGGACTGTCCATGTCCTCAGGGAAACCCACAAATGTGGAGGAGACTCTGAAGGAAGTGAAATTTAAAATAGCAAGCATTAAAAGATGGGCCAGAGAGCCTGCCAATGGTGGGGGCAGAGACTCAGCGAAGCAGGGACTCTGTGCAGCAGAGGAAGCTCCCACCAAGAGGCCCTGAGTGCTGGACTTGGCCATGGCGGGGAAGGCAAGGCCATTAGGTTGAGGGTGTGGACACCGACAGGGCAGGTGGTCTCCAGGTGCCAGGTGGACACAGACATGCTGTAGGAGACAAGGGGGCGGTGGGAAAGGGCCACCTGGCACAGGTCATGGTGCCAACACAAGACTTGAGACAAAATGTGGAGCGAGCAAGAGAGAGAACAATATGGAAGCTTGGGCAGTGGCTTCCACCTCCAGGGAAAGGATGCCTGCTGTCTCTGGGAACATTTGGCTCAGTTCCTCTTGCTAAATGGCCTGAGGTCAGCATCTGCAGAATCCTGGATTTCCTGTCCACACTGCTGGTGTCCACACTCCTGGTGTCCACAGCCTTAGTCTCTCTTGCCATGTGAACCTACATACCCCAGAGTTGTACTGAATCCCCCTGGAAAAATTAACCTAATTATACTCCCCCAACATCCTGGGCAGTGTGGTATATGGGGGTGGCTATCATTGAGGAAGAGGAGATGAAGCCCAAGTGGATATGACATGAGGAAGTGTCCCTGGTCAAACTCTCACTGAGTACCAGGCGCCTGCCTCTTAAAGGGCATTGGTGGAAGTTGTCATCAGTTCTCAGACCAGAGTTGCAAATCCTTAAGATTTGATTTGTAGGGATCTGGAGAAGCTGTTGGGCATGGAGGACCATGGTAAGAGGTGACAGATGCTACTCAGTGACACCAAAGACCCTCATGCCCATGTCTTCATGAGCCCTGGCATCCCTCTCTGGCTTGTCTAGACCCGTGTAGCTGGGTGACGCACTCAATCATAACCCAGAATCTTACAAGTACTGATGTGGCTTCCAGATAAGCTTCATTTTCTTCCAGGAAGGGCAATCCAGTCTACAATGTTGCCAGGCAGTATAATGACTGCTGAGAAGCGATGAAAAATTCATCCCAGAAATAAATCATCTCCTTATTTGCCATAAATACAAATGTTGTGTGGGGGGCATCATTTATGGCTTTATAATTGATGCAGGAATCCCTGGCATGGGTGCTGGTCCCTATCTGCTATGCATTTTGTAGCTCATGCTTGGCCGTTTATGTCACTACCCAAGTTTTTTCTTTCTTACTAAGTCCCTGCTTTCGATGTGCCTTACCCTGCAGGATTTCAGGTATCCTTAGTAGCTGCCATAAATAAATCCTTTGGGTACACAGGCAAATTAAGGTGTTATAATAGAGGAACATGTTTTTATTGGAATGTGAGGGGAGGAGGCAGTAGTTTTCTTTCTTTCCTTCCTTCCTTCCTTCCTTCCTTCCTTCCTTCCTTTCTTTCTTTCTTTTTTTGGTACCGGGGATCGAACTCGGGTCCTTACACTTTCAAGGCAGGCGCCGGAACCACTGAGCTAAATCCCCAGCAGAAGAGGCAGTAGTTTTGACTAGAGGGGTCTGGAATATTTTGCAGAAGAATTGAGATGGACTTTGCTGTGGTTAAATGCATCCCCCAAAGTTTAAGAGTTGGAGACTTACTCCGAGATGCAACAATGTTGAGAGGTAGTACCTTCAGGAGTAATTAATATTGATGTGTCCAGCCCCCTGGCCTCCCACCTTTCTGCCATGGGGCATCAAGGCTGGAAGGGCCCACCAGGCACAGCCCCGGGATCCTGGATTTCTCAGTCTCTAGAAATGTGAGTCAAATCAATTTCTTTCTTTTTTTTTTTTTTTTTTGGTACCAGGGATTGAACTCGGGATGTTGCGCTTGCAAGGCAGGCAGCGGAACCACTGAGATAAATTCCTAGCCCTCAAATCAATTTCTTTATACATCACTCAGTCTCAGGTATTCTGTTATAGCAACTCAAAACAAAGACAAGTGTCGTCAGGCAAATATTGAGGGGGGGCAGGTTTCAACTAGAGAGGACAGGTGGAGCGAAGGGGAGTCAGAGTGGGGCACCTGGAGCCCCAAGAACAGGAGTGGAAGAAGGAAGTAGATCCAGGGGATGGCGAACAACGAGCACTCACACTCAATGCCACCCTGAGCTCGCAGCTCCAGGCACTGATTCCTCACTCATAATCCTATGCAGTAACTACTGTTGTCCCCCATGGAGTAGATGGAGAAACTGAGGCACAGAAGAGTTAAGTAAGTTGACAAAGCCTCAGCTCATAAAGACAGAGGGAGCCTGGGCTGCTTGCCCAATGAATTCCTCCACTATGCTTCCTGCTTGGCCCGCAACCTGGTGTTCTGGTGTCCTCGAGCTGTCAAAATGGAGCAACACAGACGGGGCAGCTGGAAGCACAGAAAGGAAGTCCCTCACCATCCTGGAGGCTGGAAGGCTGACAGCAAGGTGTCCACAGGGCTTGTTTCTTCTAGGTCTCTCTCCCTGGCCTACACATGGTCATCTTCTTGCTGAGTCCTCATATGATCTTGCTGCTATGTGTGTGCAAATCCCTGGTGACTCCATGTGTCCAGTTTCTTCTTCTTATGAGGACACCAATCAGATTGGAGCAGGGTCTGCCCTGCTGGTCTCAGGGTAATTTAATTATCTTTTTGGGGACACTACCTCCACGTGCAGTCACATTCCGTAGGTGCCTGGGGTCACGGCTTTGGCATCCAAACACTGGGAGACACAATTCAGCCCACAGTGGGTGGGAAGCACTTTGGTGGTGGAGTCAGGGACATTCAAATCGCATTTTGAGGGGATCGCTTTGTGTAAAATGCACAGGGTTGTGGCCCAGCAGAGTCCCCCAAGGGCCTTTAGAAATCTGAGTCCCTGCTGTACCCTGAATTGGCAAAGGAGGCGCTTCACCAGCAAAGCTCTCATGAGGGTCCAGGGTGGAGCTTGAGAGGATCCCTCCTCAGAAGAAGTGTGGCCTAGGAATCAAGGCACCAGTAGGAAAAGGGAGAGGAATCTGGAAACTTCATCAGTCCAGGCACAAAAGCATGGGCGCTGCCACACTGCTCAGCCAAACCCAGCTCAGGGTAGGTCACTCAAGCTGTTGTCCCAGGGGCCTGAGGCCTGTGGCCACAGAACATTGTTCCTCTTTGGCCATCCACAACCTGGAGCCCAGAGAACTGCTGCTCTGTGCATGGGGCCACTGCAGCTGTGAATGGGGCCACTCTGCTACCACTTATGCCAGCTCTATGCCTATGGCTCCACGGCTGCTCCATTCGAGACCCTCATCTAGATTTGTACAGCAGAGTTCAGAGATGTGCGGTGGCTTCCCTGGAGGTGTCAGGAAGTGGAACCATGAAGAAATCACCAGGTTTTCAAAGGGTGGCCCTCACCCCCTTCTTCCCCAGGAGCTTCTGGAAGGACTACCTGAGAGCGCACGCTTGTCTTTGGAGCTCAAGGCTGTTGGGGCTGGTGGTGCCAGGCTGAGCCAAGGCAGATTGGTCTTCTCCAAATACCTGATTGAGCAGTCTTGGGACAGCCCAGTGCAGGGAGGCTCTGGAGCTTTGCAAACAGCAGGTGTACTTCCCATCCCCACAGGACTGTCTTCAGAAGGGGCTGAACATGGCCTGGTCTCTCTTGAACATGGTAAAGGGGCCCCACTGGAACACAAGAGACTCCTGACCCGGAGACTTTTCCTGCTGTCTCAGCAACTGCACAGATCTGCCCAGGCCCTGCTTTGGTGCTGCTTCCACTCTGGTGAGGGAGACAGAAAGCCAGACACAACACATGCATGAACAGGTAATATGTAAGGTGGTTACAGGAACAATGAAGAATAATTCCTAGGATTCATGAGCTCATTTCCTGCTTTAAGGTCTTTTCCTGAGGGCTTTTTTTTCAATATGGTGACTTCTACCCAGTTCTGTGCTGGGTTCTAGGCAACACACAGGGAGAAGAATGAATGCTGTGCCACACAGAGCCAAGTTGGGGAGGAAGGACAGAGGTGGTAGAACAAGGCGAGGGCATGTCAGGAATGATCCACACCAACACTTCCTGAGGAGCCCCCAAAAGCAAGGTGCCATGAGGGGCATGAAAGTGTGCAGGACTCTGCTCTCTTGACTTATAATCATCAGGGAGACAGAAGCCCCTCCGTGTCAACTCCACATGGAAGGGTGTCAACACTACATCCCCCACCCGCTCTGTGAAGGTCTCTGGGGATTAACAAGACTTGGGATATGGGCCTTGCCCCTAGTGAGCTTGCCATCTACTGAGGGAGCTGAGTGTCTAGTTACTCATGCATCAGCCTCTCCAGCCACTCACTGTGACGTGATAAGGAGTTCAGGGAAGAGCTGAGTCACTGTGGCAGGAGTGGTGGCAGAGAAAGCTGAAGGGGAGAGGAGAGTGAGGGACAGGACACTGCTGATAGGGGAAGCTTCTGGGCTGGCAAGACTGGACAGGCTGGGTGGGGCCAGGCAATGGAGAGGTCCATGGCCCTGAGCACAGTCCACCACCTCTGGATCAGATGGAGGCCTGGGGGATGGTGGAGCCTTAGGGGGGCTGGTTACACAGTCTCTAATGGTGGTAAGGCCCCACATCTGTGCTGCCGGCATGCCCCACTTCCCCCTAGATGTAGGCCCGGGAGGCCACTACAGGTGGGTTCCAGTCCTGGCAGGGACTCCCGTAATGAAAATGGTCTGTGCCATTAGTGGCCTGCAGGCTGGAG